GCATCTATCACGCTGATTTGGGAATCTCAGATAATGACGTTAACATATCGCTGAAATGTCTCTATATCCCTTAGATCATTTACAAGTGGGCCCCCAGGTAGGACACACCATTGGGAAACGGCAATGTAATTTTTCGCGAAGGATCCACGAGGCCTTTGAAAATAGCCTTCAACGTACTAGTCCAATCTCTTTCTAGCATCAATTCAAATACACATCAAAGGTCACATGGATCCTTCACATTAATTCTGTTTGGGTATGGTACGTTCAACTTGGGACACACTGTATATTCCATACATATACCCTACAGTCACTAAATCTATGCCAACTTATGTGAGAGAGATAGCCAACCAGTGGAATACCGATCATGCGCACTGAGTTGATTCTCGGTATTTCACTGGCGTATGTTAAAAAGTGTTTACGGTATTGTAGTCACACCTTGTATATTAACCAATGTGTTTTAAAATTGTACTTATACTTGGTGACAAAATCACACCTTGGCAGATCCATATCCTAACAAATTTTAGATGTTAAAATGTGTTTTTAGACTGGATTTATGTTTGGTGACGAAATCGCACTGGGCACACTTTAAATTCTTGGTTATCTTGCATATTAATAAATGTGTTTCATAATTAAGATTTATCATTCATTACATAATCACACTGGACACATTTTAAATACTTAGTAGTTAGTTAGTAGGCTTAGGTTGGCCATTGTTCCGGTGTCGCACCCGGTGATGGACATGACTGAACCTCAGTCGAAAGTACATTATGTCTGCATTGAATACAGTCATTGGCGAGTTGGAGGAAGGTGCGCGCCTTCCTTCGGCTGGAAGGGCTCCGCAGTATGCCATTGTGGCCAAAAGCGAAGACTAGTGGACCTTGAACTGGAGAAGATCGTCCCTTTTACTAGGCCCTGGGACGGCGCGTCTCTGAAACTACAGATGTACGCCTAGGGTAACCGAGATGACGGCTGTGTTATACGTGCTCCCGGCCGACATAGACAACATCTTGAAATGGTTCCATAGTCTCCAGAATCCTCCTCGCATTGGGTTTCGATGATGCATCCTAACGGGTACTCCAGCGGCAGAATTTGCAGGTGCACGTGGGGGTCTCGTACGTCCACCTAGGCCACCTTTGCTCTTTTGGAAAGCAGGACAGGTAGAAGACGCGCTCGCATTAGTAGCGACGCCATAACAGCATCATTTGAGGACAACTGTAAACTGCGGACCTTTCAAGGAACGAAGAGAACACCTTGGTGGAAAAGGTTCGTGGGCTCATGCGAACTAAGCTCTCCGCAGACTAGGAAGATCTCAAGATCGCTCAGCGCAGGTGTAAGCACCATATATTCGAAGGTCTAAACGAGGATTGTGGAGAACGTTCTGTGGCCACATAGAAGGTCTTCCGGAAGTCGAAAAACTTCGTATTTATTATTAAGATCCTTTTGAAAGACCCGGAACAAAAAGTGGAGACACTGAGGCTTTCATGCGGCAGATACGACTACCACGGATGAGACTCTCACATGTCTCCTGGAAACAAACTTTCCAGGCTTTGGAGACTACGTAACCTCGGACCCAACAAACGGAGCTACCCGAGGCGGTACAAGGCCATCGAGGGATCTCTGAGTTGGGTGGCCAACATGTTTAGCCCATTTAAGAGTGCAGGACCGGACGATATATTCGCGGCTCTTCTGCAGAAGGGTCTGCAACCGCTGTTCTTACATTTGTTGCACCTTTTTAAAGCCACCATGGCTTTAGAGTATATCCCCGAAAGCTGGAGACAGGTAAGCGATGTGTAACTACTTACCTACCTACCTAAGTCGGGTCGTGCCAAGTATGGCATGGCGAAAGGTTACAGACCCATCATCGTTTCTTCTAAAAACGATAGAGAAGCTGGTGGATGCATACATAAAGAATGGGGTACTGGTTCTTAGACCACTACATCCATTCCAACATGCTTACAGGCCGGTATGCCCACGGCTCTTCACAGTCTCACGTGCAGGCATAATAGGGGAATTTCTGCCAGGGGGTATCGAGGGTGCGTTTAAAAAAATTACGTTCGATTCCATTAATGAAGCTGCTGAAGGTTTTGGTATTGATGGTCATCGTAAAATGGATCCGGAGATGAGCTCCCCGGTCACCTGAGGATATCCGCAGGGCGGGGTGTTGTCTCCACTGCTGAGGCCCTTGCTGCTGGACGGTCTTTTCTGCGCTTTAAACAAGGACAGAGCTCACACAGAGGACTCTTGAACATGCGAATAGCTGGTGCAGTAGGTATGGCTTCTCCGTTAACCGGAAAAAACCGAGATTGTTCCATTTAAGAATAGAAAGAGGGCGGACCTTGATGGGCTCACTTTTCGAGGACGTGAACTGAGTCTGACCAGGTCAGTGAAATATTTTGGAGTCATCATGGACTCCCGCCTGATCTGGAAAAGGCACATTGAGCAAATAAGCAAAAATACCACTGTATGTCTATGGGCATGTAGACGAACTTTTGGCTGTACATGGGGCTTTAATCCTCGACTAGTGTATTGACTTTACATTGTAGTAATGAGACCAATAATACTGTACGGTGCACTTGTATGGTGGCCATACTCAGGGCAACATACAGATAACTTTCGGAGATTCGGCTGTATGGGAGTCACTAGAGTCATGTAAGCCACTTTGACCATGCAGGCACTTCTGGGACTGGAGCCTTTACACTTAGCTGTGGAGGCTGAGGTCCGAAAGCCTTCCATGAAAGGGACGAGTGGAAGGATTGAGGCAGCCTTGGGCACGGGCGGATCTGAGACAAAACCCTCAGATTCGATTCCCTCCTCGCAAGAAGTGATCTGATCCGGGCTGTCTTACTAAGACCAAAGAGGTATAAAGTCATTGTATCGGAGAAGGAGAGTGGCTGAACTCGGATTGCTCATTCTTCAAACCTGAAGGACTGTTGCGCTTTACAGACGGATTCCTAACAGAAAAGGGAACGGGAATGGGTATATATGGTGATCAAGCGAGCGCTGACATCAGTTTCTTGGTTACCATAGCACCGTTTTTCAGACAGAGGTGTTAGCCATCATGACCTGTGCATAGAACCTCCGTAGGGATTACCGCAATAAGCATATGCATACATATGCAGTGACAGTCGGGCGGCGATGAGGGTCCTGTCAGCAGACAGGTTCCGATCGGCTGTGGCGCTTGATTACAGGCGAAATCTAGGTAGATTAGATGGGTTTAATAAGATAAGTTTTATCTGCACGCGGAATAGGAGACTCTGAAAGGGCCGCTCACAAAGGCAGTGGTGGGGCCTTCGTCAGGCCCGAGATTACCCTAGGGATTGCTCACTCCGTTGCCAGAGTCGGGATTAAAGAATGGGTGACCAAAGAATTCCAAGATCAGTGGCAACAAGCAACCGGACTCAGACAGCCCAGGACCTTTTTACCAGGGTCCGTTGGCAAAACCAGAACTACCCCCTTATTTTAAATTAGAGCGCTTCCATAATATGACACCATCCAGAACACTAACAGATAAACGCAACGAGCGCCAGTTAAACAAGCATGTGAAATAAAGAACTGGAAGTAACCGAAAAAAAACATAAAAGTTTAAATGTGAAATGGAAATGTGCATCAAAAAACATTTTCGGAAAACCTTCTTACAACATCAAAGCTGGAGCTCGTGTTGGCTTTGCATGTCCTAATTGCCAAGCTAACTTTTCGACCCTTCAACCAAGCATGGGGGTATGAAGAGGGCATTGGATGAAAAAAAAATGTAAACATTTAAATCGAACAAAACTTTAAAGTGGGGTGTGGCGCAGAAATTACCACAAAACGACCACAACATTACTGTAATTTGGCAAAATGGGGTGGAACAAAATATTTAACTCGTAAATATGGATATTAAAATTACGTAGTAACTATCACAAATTTAGAAATCAAAACAAGATATTTTTGCACCGCCATAACTTCCTACAGCTGTAGTTGATGCTTCCATTTGTATTACATTAAGAAAAATAATAATCCAGGAATAATCAATTTAGTCTTGTGAAATTCCTGAAATACATCTCGGTAAACATATCTGCAGTCATTCGACCTAAATTTTCTTTAGAATTAAATTAGTGTTTGTATTTTTAGAATTATTAGTTACTGAAAATATAGAATGCTTTTAGGGTCTGAACTGGGAGAGAAGCCTACCACGCGGCATAGGGGCTGAGCTGAGCATGGTTAATACTCGATACTTTCATCTCGGACATGCCAGCCGCCATTATCCGTTGACAACCTTGATTGATGTCACATCCATTCACAGAAATCACTGACTTTTTTTCGATAAAAGTTTATTTTTATGCGAAGGCAACTGATGATTCCTTTACCGTTAATCATCTAAAAATATTCGATAACATTTTCGACGTTAACTAATACCATTCATAAACGTTTCATCAAAGCCGTTACTTTATTGAATCGTAATTACAGACAAGTATATATCAAAAGAGGAAATCTGAGTTGACTGACAGCTCGATAATATCAATGTGTATATATACACGACTTCTTACTTAGAATCATATCCAACCCATTATTAGATAAATGTACGTGGGATACGTAGATGTTTCCAATTGGAGGTTCGTAAATGCAAAATGCATGCACGTTACCTACACGTGAGACATTAAAATTCCATCTAACGTGAAAATAACAATTACCATATTAAGACACCGATTAACAGTATATAATTTTAATCGCATTCGGGCACATTATGAAAAGTAGTCTAGCCAAGCCGTAAAGGTTACTAAAGCACTTTATAGCACTTGGGAGGTGCTTCATTTTACGAGCAATGGAGAAAGACACCCGGAGCTCGCATTTAATGGATGACACTCATCATCTTCCAGATTATTACGTCAATACAAGCAAGGAAATTATCTCTCGAACAGTTTTAATAAATTTAGCGCGGCTTTTTTTTTAATGTTATACCGGTGCAGTGCGGATTTAGACTTTACCGCTTATATTTACGACATAAATCGAATTTTACATACCTGCCCTATTCGATTGATCGATCATAGGCTGGACTATCCTCCGTCGTGCGTTGATAAACCTGAAACAAAACGGCAATCAGTCTCCCACCAGAAAGATCCCATCATAATTTTGACGTATTCATTTAAATTCTAACTTATTCCAAAATGGACAAACCAAGAAAAAAACGATTTATTTTACACAACATTTATGAACTATACAAAACGAGTTTGTATTAAATTGTGTTAATTTTCCTTTACTCAAATTTATGGTCCTCATAAAATATTTATTAGGCAATAAATTTACAAAGTTTTTAAAATAAAATGTATAACTTCAAAATTATATTTGGAGGCCTTTTTTGAGAACTATCTTGATGTCGAGATCATTGCATTAATAATCGTCAAGCAAACCTTTCTTCGTACGGATCAAAAAAATTCGACACACCGATAAATTAATGCCAGATAAAATTAGCATTCGGTATCGTTTTTTATATTTCGTTACATATTTATAAACCGGAGATAAAATATTACCATTGTGCTCTGAAATAAATCTTGTTGGTTTGTGAAAATTGTTTATAATAAAAATGGTTAAGCAAATTACAAAAGAGTCTCAAAGGTTTATACCAAAGCGATAAATCGACTTAGTGGAATGGTACCGTAGATTTATATCGAATCGATGAATCAATCCAACGAATCGATTTAAATCAATAGCAACAAACCGCGATTGTCTAGTTCTACTTTAAAATTTCCGTACTAAGGCTCGGTGCACATGAGCTGCAAAGTTAAATCGGGACCTCGAGATTATTTTCTATCAAAATAGTGCGAACTATGTTGGGAGTAATGGGGCAATGCACATAGGACGCCGACACCTATCGGCCCAAGTTGGGAGTAATTGATCCGACTTGATCCGCATCAGGGATATTTGACATGATTTTATCCGCAAAAGTAAGGCATTTTTTACTTTTTTAAATTTGCAAACCTTACTTAGGTGCAATCGGATTCGCAGATCAAACAGCTTCATCTAGAACGCGAGTGATTTTAGGCCCGTTGCGTTGATCAGATTAAGTCGGATCCCACCGATCCACCTCAAAATGACTGAACTTATTCACTCAGTTCTATCCGATCTAACGACCAAAATATTCGAATGATTGGAAAATATTACTGCTGCTGCTAATGGTGGTTCGCCATTAAAACCTTCTGTAGATATTCATTCAACCGGTATTGATGAAACGGGCGTCAACACTGGCTTGAATTGACTGTTGTTGTCTCTCTTTCTGCACTGAGGCCTAAAAGGGGAGACTATCAGAAACTATTCCTTATCATAATGAATCAGTGAAGATCAATAAATTAATCGATTAATTAACGCATTATGTTTTCATTTTTTGTGTAGCGTTCAGTTCATGATAGTGTTTTTGAAATTAATTCAAACTAATTATAGACACAAATTGGATCGCTCTATTATAATTAAATCAATAAGCTGATTACAAGATCGATTATCTCATCGCCAATTATTCGATTCTTAAACAATCAAAATCGCTTATTTAACAATCGTTATCAAATAATCGAAAATCTCGATTACTTAACTATGACTATCGATTACAGTAGAATTTGATTATCGTCTATTATTTACAATCCGGTAATAGAAAAACATATGCCAAATTCTTGACAGAACAGCTTCCTAGCTCAAACCAAAAATCGCTCTTTTAGAAGAATGCCTTCAAAAGTAGCGAAAAACATTTCCCAGGAAAGGTTATTATTTTCCGATATAGCGTAAGAACATTCAGCAAGAAGTATTTGAAAGAATTAAGTTTCCCTACACTTGATCCTTAAGGTACAGAGTTCACAGTTATGGGAAAATGTGCATAGAATCATTAAATGTCCCAGCTAGTTTCCAATCGCCTGTGTCAAGATAAATAGGACACCATGTATATAAATTAATTAGATTACGGAACTGGTAGTCGGCTAGTCGCAACTCACAAACGAGATGGCTCATCGGCTACACTCCAATTCGTCTCGCATATTCAGGTGCATTTAAACCCCGATAAATCATTCCCTGAAACTGATATCTTTTCTACGCAAACATTCTTACTTCAATACTATCGTATATAACCCGTTAATTATTTTCGGTCTGTTCCGAATTGCATATTGTGCCCTTATTAAATTAACAATTCTAATTAGTTCGCGATAATCTCCATTTTTTTACAATACGTACTCTCGGAAACACCTCGGGCCCCACGTTGTTGCGCTTTTTTTTACTTTTTTGTTTTTGTGTTTATTGCTAATAGGTAATTCATTTATGATCTATAGTCAAGCAACCATGCTCCCGATAGTACTTGCATTTGAATGGGTTACTATTTGAAAAAACAGTTGTATGACGTCACGGCGCTAAAAACTCATATTAAATAAAATATACATTCGCAAAATTTTAACGAAATCATAGTAAGTTTTGCCGACAAAAAATATTTTAGTTTTTATAATTTCAGTTTTTTTTGTAACAAACTTTTTGTAGGTTGTACAGATTGGTTCAAATTCGTGGCACACCATTGAAATATCCATAACGGTGAGAGATTCAGTGTAGGTCAAATGGGGGCAAAGTTGACCCTTTTTGTGATTAATATTTTTGAAAAATCTTTTAAAACAACTGAGATTTCACCGAAAAACTGGTTCATTTTTCCTAGTTTAAACGGACTGAACTGGACGGTTCCCTTCAGCTATGGGCATTTTTCTTTCGGAGGATCTGAATCTGTTATCAGAATTTCCATAGTATGCTAGATGTAAAACCTACAGGCTACTACTTTGTTATTTCTTATGGGCGCCATATTGGATTTTTACGGAATGAGATAGAGGAAAAAAAAAGAAAAATAATTACGTGTCACAGTCTATACTTTTACATATTACAAGAAAAATTTTAAAATCAAATGTTTTGCATTCATTTTTCAACAAAACATCCACCCACAGGTAGTTAGATTTCACTGAATCAACATAGCTATTATGAGGGTGCATTCAAATGAATTTCTTTTTTTGCCATTTATCTCATTCCGTAAAAATCCGATATGGCGCCCATAAGAAATAAGAAAGTAGTAGTCTTCAGCTTCTACATCTAGCATGCTATGGGAATTCTGATTACAGATTCAGATTTTCCAAAAAAAAGTGCCCATAGAAGATGCTAACGGGAACCGTCCATTTCCGACCGTTTAAGCTAGGGAAAGGAAAACGAAATTTTACTTTTTCAATTGTTTTTAAACATTTTTGAAAATTTTCAAAAACGTATTTTTAGCCACAAAAAAGGATAACTTTCCCCCATTTAACGTACACTGTATCTCTCACCGCTACGAAGATCGTAAGAGTGATTCACGAATTTTAACCGTCCTGTACACAGAAAAATAAGATCTTTCGAATAACTTAATAAACATTTAGGTTGCTGTTTGAAAAGAATAGTTCCATGCCGTTGTGGCGCTCCAAAAATTTTTTTTTCAAATCCATCTTGTTATTTTTTGTTTCCATAGGTCAAATATACGTATCCAAAATACACACATAGAGATTTGTGGTTATTGTTTTTTTCCTATGTCTACTTTAAAAAGACAAAATCTCTTCTACGAGGCGCATCTAAAATAACTTTTTAAAACAAATAAACTTCTGGCTGTCATATTAATTAGTTTGAATAGTGTTGCTTTGACTTAACAGAAATAAATCTCTTACTACGTCAATTAACAATATCAACTTCTTCTTCAGTTGAATACATCGCACACGAATGAAAATAAAAATGCGTAAGCTAATGCAACAATATTCAAATTACTTAATGTGACAGCCAGATTTTTATTTGTTTTAAGAAGTTATTTTGGTTACATGAAATTAGGCGCCCTTCAGAAGATATTTTGAAAGTAGGGAAAAACAATCCACATAAATCCCTATGTCTACTTCTTTACAACTAGCACTGTATGTACAGACGGAACAAGTATAAATAATAAAGTGCACTTTTAAAACCGAAATAGCTTAGTAAATGGTTGGGTTATAAACAGTGTCGGATTTAGGGTTTCTGCCGCTGTGGGCAAACATTTTTTGCCGCCCTTGACATATCACTATATCACCATTATTACAGCGCAAACGCTCCCTTTGAATAAAAAAAAGTAAGGCATTCATTGGCTATATTTGCAATGCAATGAATGTACTAACAGATTTTATTTTTGCTTCATTTTATTTACCGATTCACCGTTTACCTAAAAAATTTGAACGCATTTTAATTTTTCTGTTTTCCTCCAAATATGCCGCCCTTATAATTTTGCCGCTGTGGGCAATTGCCCACCTTTGCCCCTTATATAAATACGGCACTGGTTATAAATTATAAGGCATGCTATATTTTTGAATGTTTACTTTCTTGATAGATGAGCAATGGAGAGGGGACTCTTTACACATAAACATTTAAAAGCTGCCTGGCATATATTCAAAATTTACGCTATATAATGCAAGAAGAATCAAGCCCTTAGAAAAATTCGAACCTTCCTCCGGCATTTTCTAGATATTCCCAATTAAGTTTTTACGTCGCCAGTAGATGTGTCTCGTGTAAACTATCTTCCCGCCCTTTGAGAGTTCCCTCCTCCGACACTTCGTTTTCAAGATATTCGCTTCGACTTCACCAATTGATTCCAGACGTCCAGGCGAAAATTGCCTTTGTGAGTACTTTCCTGCGACAAATCGATTTCGAGATATTCGCTCTTAAAGTTTTGACATATCACCAATGCTTATATTTCTTCCAGACGTCCCAATTACCCTTCGTGAGTACCCTCCTCCGACAATCTGTTCTTGAGATATAAGGAATTATATTCGATCACGACAAGCAATCGAGGATTAGGACTATGATTGGTCGAAATTAGTTCCTTTCGTGGAAAGATAATATTTCTACCCTCCCCCCCCCCCCCTCTGGTTACCCACTGATATCGTTGCGCGGGAAAGCTATAGTTCGTACATACCAATTCATCTCGATGGACCCATTAGATTACAATGAAGGGCAGCACATATGTTCGCCCCCCCCCTCGCACCACTGAAATACAAAATCTCACCCAATTGATTGTGGCTGTGGCATATA